TATCGAGTGTTATGAATATGTGTGGAAATTTAAAACTATTTAAAATCTTCAATTAGTATGTGGATATAGTTGAGGACTAGAAGGTATTATAGAATGTCAACTATCTCAAGGTAATGTTTGGATTTAAATTTTTTAGGACTCACTAACTATAGATTCAAATATGAGTAGCCATATCTTAACCACAACAATATCATAAGCAATAAAATCCATATAGTCGACATATACAATATGCATATTATTAAGATCTGATGCAACATCAAGGAATATACACACATTTGCAGCATGCTTTTCTTGGTATTTTTTTGCAAGTAAGTCAACAATATTTTCGACGTTATAGTAGACATTTGTTTATTGGAGGAAAATAAAAAGACAATTAATTGGAACATAATCATCAACGATGCCTTCATATTAGAATTGAAGTACTTTCAAAAAGACTAACATTCTTGCACTACCATCCATCATTTTTTCATAGTATACATAATCAAGTATTAATATTATGTTGCCAAGTTTGGATATATACTATGTTTGGAAAAAGAGCAAAGAGAACATAAAGGATAAGCATCTACAAGAACAACACAACAAGAAACTTGAATAAAAGAAATCTTGTGCTAATGTTGATATTCAAACCATCACAATTGATTTACAATACTACAATCTAAGAGAACTAATTTAGAAAGTAGTAGTCTACAAAATCCAATTATAACATGAAATTTCAAGCTACACAATATATGAATTTGTGGCATTGGTAAACAAAGAAACTATGAAGTCTTATTGCTACAAAGACTCCATTGTTGGGATGAGAGCATTCTCATTAGGAAAACATAGAATTTATGGCTGCAATTAGATATGGTCAAATAATATCTTTCATTTAAATGAACTCTACCACCTCATACTCATGACAATACGTGAGAGTTGTCACCTCTTTTTCATTCAATTAATTGCCATAGCTGCATACTTTATTTGATTTGAGCATATGATGGTTTTTTGAGGAGTTACTTAGTCCATACATATATACAACAAATCTAACTTCCTAAAATTCTTTATAACATATATTATGAATAAACAAAGCCACTATTTATATTAATACAAGACAATTGACTCCTCCTTATCTAAATAGGAACTACAATTTCATACTAACTCTTCTTAGAGTAACCAAAAGGTTTTTGAAAAGCTTATAAAGAAAAAAAATAAGTCCTCAATATATCAATTCAAAATTAAAAACACACTCTAAGAAATCTTCCATAGAAGAAATTGTAGTAAAATCTTGGAGGAAAATCCTAAAGAGCAAATAGCTCTTTCTTTATTCAAAAATCATTACATCTTTATATCAATTCTTCTTGGGGCAAGTAAGAATTTTTTAAAAAGTCAAAAAAGAGAAGAATATTTTTTAAAAACTTCAAAAAAAAAATACTAAACATGCAATTCTTAAATTCTTTTTTGGTCTTTTGTATAGTGTATCTATAACAATAGAAAAAGATCAAGATATATCTATCTTAGCTTAGACCATTCCAATGATAATAAGAAAATATGTAGTATTTAGTGTATTATTAGTTATTCGAGCGATCCTTCATCTTGAGAACCAAATGAAGGTGCAAATTCACCTTACATATTTCCTATATATATAATCAACTATAAGAACTAATTGTAGATCCTTGATAGTGCTTTAAATTACAAACTTGATTTACTCAATGCATATAGCTATCAATCAATGTGAGTGGTATGGCATAAGATACAACTTATAGATATAGCTACTAAGCATGTGCTTAACAACAACAATATACACAATAGAGACTTGGATAGCAAGATCAAGGATATAAAGGAGACACAATATATAATTTTAAAGCATTTTACTAAATATCTATACTTTAAGGAATGATATTCCACTCACACAAACATAGTGGATTACCTAGTCTGTCCAAAATTCAAATAGAATCTGATTTTTGATATTTATTAGCATTTGTCAAAAATCCAACAGAAGCACTATTGTATGCATCATGAATTTGCTACAATAATACAAAAATTGTACTATAGGTAAAAACCATCCTATAGTGAGTATTCTCAATTACATAATTTAAATACAAAAAATTTCATGAATTGCAAACATCTTAAAGATAGGATGTGAAATACCATGAGAGATGAAATGTTATCCATCCAAAGTAACTACACTTGATTACATTAATAATACCTATGTGAGAGGCTTGTACTCACTTAGGAATGATACTTATCAAAGTACTCTATTGATATGGCATAAAAAAAGAAATAAAGAAGGAAATAAGGTGTCATTTAAGGCTAAAAAAATTAATGGAGGTATAATAACATTGGAACATAATTTAGGATTGAAAAAAGTACTTAGTAAATAGTCAAGAAGTAGCATAATATTTAGCAAATTCTATGAGTAGGACCACAATTCAAGCTAGTATTGGATCAAAGGTTGTATTATTTTGATTGAGCGATAAACTAGCCTTTGCATTTTTTTATCATTGTGTATTGAATTTGAACTCATATGATTGTGTCTCATACTTGCTATTAATTTTAATAGTCCAAGTAATATATAGCAACTATACTAGAAAGCATTAAGTGACAAAATCTTAAGCAAATTTGATAGAGGATGAACACAAGATCTAGAAGTAAAATATATATATATATATATATATATATATATATATATAAAAATCAAAGAAGGAGTGGATATAGGAAGATCTTCTCCTAGTTGACTTGAGCTTGGCAAGTAGAACCTAATAAAGATTGCTATTAATCTTGAAGCGACCAAAGCTTTATAGAATTGGTTACAACAATATTTCTTGGAATTAGAAGATTGCATGAAAACAAATTTATAAGAGATGTGACAATATTACAAAGAACTTGCATAAGTAGTTCAAAGTTCATGACTTAAGTCTCAAGAATTCCAAATACATTAATTGATTGTAAAAATAGAAAAAAACCATCGCCAAATTCCATGAAAAAATTCACGTGCCACATTTAATTCAACTGAAGCAATAGTAGTCAACTTAAGACAACCTAGCCTGAAGTATTTTATTTACAATTACACGAGTGACTTTAATAAATACATCAAAATATACTTTTTTTATGATTGTAATTTTTTTTATTTAATTATTCAAACTAAAATTTAAGATAATGATGTATTTGAAATATGAAGCACATCTCAAACCATTATTATAAGTAGTTGTGGACTTAAACACCACTAATCATAATACTATAGTTATCAAGCTTTGCATCGAGAAATATCAACAAACTACTGTATTCATGGATGAAGGATTCGGCACTAACTTTATGGTAAATCATATTTGCAAGTTCTTTAGACTTCTCTATCTCAAAGAAACTTTATTTGTATTCCACATGTAATTATGAGAAATTGACATCATTATTCAAGAAAATAGACAATCTTATATTTTTGACAACATTTAAAATAGATGGGTTGAGAACTTGACATCATTGCAAAAGGAATTAAGAAATCTTACATATTTGACAAAATTTGACAAAGAACTTATTATCATTATCAAAGAAATTAGGCAATCTTACATCTTTGAAAACATTTGCTATAAGTAGATACAAGAACTTGACATTATTGCCAAAAGAGTTGGGCAATCTCACATCTTTGATTTTTTTGTAGAAATAATATTATCATTAATATAAGGCTATTTTAAGATATTAATTTAAAAAACTTATATCCAAAAAATTAATTAATCTTTTTTAAATATCATATTTTTGTAATTAATTATTAAAAAATCATAGTATTTTTTATGCTTCTTCTATCCACTAAATATTATTTATAAGTTTCTAATAAAAAAAAATTATAAAAAAAAGATCCTTTGAAGGTTTTTTCTTAAAAACACACAAGAAAAATTATAAAAAAGAAAAAAGAAAAAAGAAAATATAAAATATCAGAGTAACAAACAAAATTGCCTTATATTCAAGATTCAATATAACTTTGTTTTAAATAATATATTCTCTTTAGAAATATAGTGATTTAAAAGATATTCTAATTTATTTATAAATAATTAAATAAATAAAATTTATGTATTTAATTAATTGATTAATAATTTTTGGATAAACAACCAATTAAGATGCATAGGGAGGATTTATACCACTTTCAAATCAAAAGAAAAGATAGTCATTATTTTTATAATAGATCTTGTGAAAAAAAATATAATTTAGTAATAAAAAAATATTATTATCGATTACAGAATAATTTAACAAAATATTAGATTTTTATGCATACTACAAGAATATGTTTTGTAGAGAGAAAATTAAAATGTCTCTAATATTCTATAATAAATTCATCAACTTCTAAAGGATATAAAATAAAATTAAGTAGAAATTTTTTTAATAAAATATTTTTATTTTTTTTTAAAATATTAGGAAAAAGTTCAAATGCTCTATAGATAATTACCTAGAAAATAATGGTCTAATAAAATACATCAATCATATTTTAGGGTAATATCTTTATTGCAACATAAGCTATTAATACAATAATTTGATAGGTTATTCTGTTATTAATTATTTACGCTTACAGTAACAACATAAATTTATTAACCAAGAAATTCCTATAAATTTTAAGGCGTAACTGTTACTTTCGATTAAAGGATTTTTACAGTATTGTTATTAGAAGTTTAAGGCTATTTTTTAAAAATATTTATTTAAGTGTCATCCAAAAAAAACATATATTTTAGTTATATAAAGTCCTAAATCAGTATAAAACCTTTATTAAAAACACCAACCAAAGTATTAAATGAAATAATATATATATTTAATTATATATAATCTCTAAATTTTTTTAATAAAGTTCTGAATTCAGCTCTTATGGAATGCACATATTTTATCTAATACATTAAAAAAATTCTCTCAAAAACCTTTTATAATTAGTGTAGTCTAAGATCCATTACTTTACTACCAACTCATACTCTAATTTATTACAAATATTTTTTAAATTAAATATTTGGATTCATATATTTCATAAATATTACATACATTTTATAAATATGAAAATATATTTAAAATCATCTCATACAATAGCTTAAGGCAACATAGATTTAAGACTAAATATTAGTAAAATATTTATTTGGTTGGATCTTTATTTCTTGTTCCACTCACAATCTCAAAAGTAAAACACCAAACAATAAACATCAGCCTTCTCACTTAGTTGACCATACAGCATGTATTCTGGTGCTAAGTACCCTCTGCACAAATCATGTTTAAAAATGTTTTAAGTGTTAAGAAAACTTCAACTAATTGATATTATACATGATTAAATATAATAGATATCTTTACTCATGAGCTTGAAATATGTGCGCACACTGTGCTAGCTCATTGTTGGGCCATAATTTCACTTCTTTCATATTGAATTAGCCTTGCTAGGCCAAAGTCTGCAATTTTTGGATTAAGATTCTTATTTAATTGAATATTACTAGTCTTGATATTGCAATGAATAATTTTTGTTTGAGATGATGCATGGAGATAATAAAGACCATGAGCTATGCCGAAAAATATATGCATTCTTGCAGGCCAAATTACCACTTGCCATACACGTCCTATGCTCTTGGATCCTGATAAATTATACAAGAAACAAATATATTTTTAATATGGAAACAATCTAAAAATATGCATATTAAAAGTTCTTTTTGTTTTATGTATTTTTACTTTTATGGCTATTTTTTTAAAGGAATTATTGACTAAAAATAAAAGAGGTTATATTGGATATTTAAAATTTTAATCCATGCCGTTTTTGTATTTTTAGAGATTTTGTATAACCTGTATATAATCATGTCTTGGATTAAGATGTTTGTAACATCAATAGAAGAATTTTTGTTGTTAACAACATAAATGTGTGTATATATACAATAAAATATTTATTGATTAAAAAATAATAATTTAAGAATTTTTCTTTATATTAATTATTTAAAAGTAGACTTCAGTCTATTTTTAAGCTTTTGGTTTAATTAAAATGATAAAGTGTTAATACTAATAATCTATCATTTTAATTTTTTATCATATTCCTTTTTAAAAATAAGAAATATAAGTGAATTATAATATTAAATTATGATAATATTAAATTATAATATTGAATTATATTATATTAAAATTATGTAACTTATACTATTTAAAAAAATATTATATACATAAGTCTTTTAATACTAGAATATAATGTTTTTAAATATATATATATATATATATATATATATATTATTTTATTTTAATATTTTCTTTAATATCTTTAATTTTTCTTACAATGCATGGCCATATATTGAAAACATCCAAAAAATAATAATGAAAAATATTTAAGATTTAAAATTTACTCATTCTTAATAATCTATATAAAAAAATAAAAATAGAAAAGTATTGACACATTAGAATTATATATTACATTCAGTGTATTGTATACTTACCTTGGAGTAGTAGCTTGTCAAGGTCACCATACTCAACGAAGTCATAAACTAAAAGCATCTCTTTGTCATGGATGCAATATCCTTTTAAGAGATACAAGGTTGCAGTGTTGAAGATTTGAGATTAAAAGTACTTCATTTAAGAATTCCTCACTTGCCTTTTTAGTCTTTAAAAAAAGTTTTTTTACTGCAATCTCAACATATATTATTAATATATTTTCTTTTGTAATAATTTAATTAATCTATAATATAATAGATAATATATATATATAAGACAAGTTAAAAATTCATACATATCATAAAATTTACTTGCATGAAGAATATAGCTTATAAAATATAATAAAAAAAATGTATTTTTAACTTTTTTATAATAAAATCCAACTTCATTATACTTAGAAAGATTTTAGGTTGATTTAATACCTTGTACACAGCACCATATGATCCTTGTCCTAGCTTTTTCTCCTTAGCAAAGTTTTTTGTTGCAATACATAATTCTTTTAATCAAATTGTTTTGTTCTTACATCAATTTCATCAAATCCTGCACAAGAATTTGGAGTTTAACAAAATTAGTTCTTCAGTATTCTTCCTAAGAAAAAATTCTAAATAAGAAGATTCAAGTTTATTATATTATATATATAGAAATAAATATACTTTTTTGAATTAACAAGAATCAAAATATGACATAAGTATGCAAAAGAAAAAAAAGGAAAAAGATACATAATTTTTAAGAGTGCGCACACATTTTTGTTTCTTTGATGGAGTATTTAAAGAATGCATAAGAACACTGATCCCAATAAAAATATACATATTGACGTTGGGATGACAATGATTTTCCAATTTATATTCTTTGATTCATCTGCACATTAAAAATAATTGTCAAATATATGTCTTTTTAAATCTGAATCGAATATCTATAAATAGTTGAAATTCAGTTGAAGATATTATCCATTTTAACAAATATACATTATAAAGAAAATCAAAATCAGAATATTGCAATATAAAGTACTTACCAAAAAGATGTCTGACAATATTGCTCACAATAACATCTTTTTCCATTCACATCTTTTGAAGAGTCATCACAATATGGGTTTCCCTGAAGATTAAACATAATCTATTTTTTATGTTTAAGAGAAAAAAAAATATACCAACTTTTGCATCAAATTCTATACACATTTTCTCTAAAAACATTTCAGTAAATTGTATTTTTCAGCATCTATTAGTTAATATTACTACAAAATTTATAAATATTTATATTTTTCTTTCTTGTTTCAAGTTAAGTCTTTTATAACCACAACTAAAAACAAATATATGAACAAAAAAGCTAAATACAAGTTTCAAAAATGTAAAACTTTAGTTAACTATTTATCCATAAATCATTGTAACAACTCATAAATCAACTATGCAAGTTTGGATAAACAGGTCTGAAGTTGAAAGAGAACTTGAGAAGGATCCCTCTACTTGTTATGAAGGATTTGTCAAAGTTCACATTCAAAATGTGATGGTTTCTTAAACTCAATACTCGTAAAATCCTTTTATTACTTTTCTTCAGATTTTGAATGCTGGATTGCATGCTGATCAAATCCAAACTTCCATTCATATTGATGTTGTCAAGGCACCTGCACATTAAATGTTCAATTTCAAATAATTTGCAGATTTGTCAAATGTTAACATAACGCAAAGCTGGTCTTAGTATTTGTGCACATTCATAGAAGAAAAAAAAGTTCCCCTCAAACATACAGATAGCAATTAAGCTACGTGAGGAAATCTGGAATTGGTACATGACTACATAAATTACTGGGTACTAAATTCATCCACCTGGTCCATCTCAACGTTACAAATCGGGTAAGAGATTGAACGTCTCATAAAAACACGTGACTTTTCACAGGTTACGTTCTGACACTAACAGCACCAAAAAATTGCACTTACAGTCTCTCCAATGATAGCAGATATGGAATCGAGTTCCAATCTGGTCAAACACCTCCAAACTTGAGGCTTGAAACATCCAGCACTCCTAGCTGGCTATTGGGTCGAAGCCACCCGTTGAAAAGCTATGAGTTGAGGTAGATTTGTGAAGTTGTTGCGACTGATATTCCGGCAGCATGAATTCACTGTTTGATTATCACTGGTTTCATAAAGTGCCACCTTAAAAAGATTATCATGCACGTCGCACAATGGATAAAAGTTTGATTCCCAAGGTTGAAATAATTTAATGTGCTTCCGAATCATGCGTAGTACTCCATTTCAAGTTTGCATTTGCAGGGTTCAACGTGCATGTGAAGTCAGTGGATAAGGCTAATACCTCGCGACAATTTCTAGGAAGACCTTCATTTTTTAATGCATTCAGGTTGCTTATTGTTGTTCAGTTCTACTCTACAACCTTTCAGCAGTAATCTATCAAAAACAGTGCAAAGTGAAGCTCTCTGCCAAGCGTTGAACATACTGGTCAGAGTGTTGAATCCAACTCACAGGTTATACAGATTTATTAGGTTTGTGAAATTTGATATTGACCCTGTGAAGCTGTTGCTGGACAGATCCCTGCAGCGGAAACATATCATGTGGATAGAGAAAATATACATACATGCCCACCGTAATTGCAGTTAGGAAATTTTAAGCAAATTATAAAAAGCCCACACATTTACCATCTTGATTGTCACCTCCCACGACCGGAACTAAAATGCTTTGAAAACTGCAATGAAAATCAAAAGGGAAAGGTTGTTCTGGTGTAAGTTTCAAAAATGGATCAGAACTCAAAAAGTTGCATAGGAGTAGGCGTTGAGAATGGAGGAGATGAAGCTAATGGCAATGAACTCTTACAATGTGAGCAATTGAGTCAAAATTTCAGAAGAATTCATCGCTATGTCACCATCAAGTATGTTTCGTCCAATTTTGAAACTTTGCAGGGTTCCTTCGGTGTTAAAATGCGTAGGAAATCTGTTCACAAGTTTGTTTCCACTCAAGTCCCTGATATAGAGGCAAAAACAACAGACGATTTGTCAGTTAGACAATCTACTGTCAGCGATCAATTGACATGGGTTGACAACTATACGAATGTTAAAACAATAACTCATCCAATCTACTGTCAGCGATCAATTGACATGGGTTGACAACAATTTAGAAAATGATGTCGGTAACTATATGGTGCCATTTACAGCTCCAGAAGATTTCCCAGATTCGAAAGCTCATGAGGAACGGTTCCACTGAATCCGTTGTCGTTAAGTTTGATGCATGCAAAGATCAAGGTAAGGTGCAATGATAATGGATATCAGATATTTGGTTACGAATCATCTTCCTTCACAATCCGAACAAATTCATAATCCCTGGCAATCTTAATTCTGCTACCACAGAAAATAATATTGCTACCATACAGCAACACTCATAGCTCAGAAAGACAAAGTTGACGATTAGACATCTACACAATACACAGAAAAGTCATAACAGAGTAATGAATCAAGGGCTGCTGCTTAAAGAACATTCAAAGGTAGATCACAAAGTTCTTGGGGCGAAATCCTCGCAGATTAGGATTCCCTGTCAGGGATTTACACAGCACCAGAGGAAGTTTTGTTTCATATTTAGCAAACGTTTGTGCCGCCAATTAAATGTCTCTTCGAATTAAAGACTGATGTTTGGATTAACAATTCGTGATATACGTGGAAAAATTGTTCAGTGTAACTCACAAGGTAACAAGTCTTATCAGATCCTTGATGCCAGGCTGTAGAGTACCAGGTATTGATGCATCTGCCAATTCACTGTGCATCAACTTGTGAAATTTAGACAACATATCGGAAGAATGTTAGGCCCAGTCACATATGCCCTGTCATCTAAAAGTGGCTCTGATTACCGACTGCATAGTTAGTGGTGAGGTTCGTGTTTGTGGGGGTAACCCAACGTATGTGCAGTGCATCACCTCTTGAAACAACAGTGTCTATTACAGCTTACCAATCATGCACTGAACATGTCAATCGATAAGAGCAGAGCCAACAGCACAGAACATGACGACAAATAACCAGCAACCACGAAAACTTGGAGGACAGTAATTGCTTGCAGGACAGAGTTACGTCATCCAAGTGGAATTCACTCAGCATCCATTACCGTAGTCTTCCCTGCTTTGAAACACCCCTAGACTGCAGCACCAGGCGCGCTCAACTACGTTGCGAAACGTCGGCAGCTATCATCCACTGTCAGTGGGTTGTAGAGGGACACAACCTGAGCTGTATCGGCTCTCTAAAAGCAACGGACAAGAAGTGCGTACGCCATAAAAACTGGAGGCAACAGCATGACTCCTCAACGCAACTGCTTTCGAGGGCAGGTGAAGCAACTGGACGCCTTCACGAGCAACGATGACCCGCTTCAATAAAAATAAAAATAAAACTTTATTCCAGTCCAACTCAGAATGTACACTAATTCCTGGTCCCTTTGTGGGAATGCGTCCTCCCATCAACTGACGCTCCTGGAAGTTCAATGGTGGAAGTTCAACCGACAACTCCTCATTGCAACCACTCCTCGTAATCCGCTCCATATCAAGCTCCATTCAAGGTCAGTCTGAGGATGTGGTACTAATGCTCAGTTATTAGAAGTAAGTGAACTGAGAGATTTTTATATAAATGTAATTATTAATTAATTATAAAATGGGCGTACATGGTTTTATCTTGTCAAGGGAGGAACAACTGATTAGGTCGCACTTCCTTCACAGGGTGCGACGTTTCAGTCACATTGTGTTCGTTATGTTTTGTTATTATCTATGATTGTTTCCAACACGACCGCATAATCAAAGCATCATGAATGTGGGATTTCTCTTCCAAGCAAGCCAAGCTTCGATCTAGTGAGTGACTTTGTGAGGATGTCGGCATGCTTATTGTGTGTTGGGCAGTAGTTAAACACAACTTTGTTTTGAGTCGCAAGTTGGCATATAAAATGGTAGCGGATAGACATGTGCTTTGTGAAATGGTAGCGGATAGACATATGCTTTGTGCAAGAATGAAAACGAGTGGTATCCATTAATGCTAACACAGACTTGTTGTCGCAATATAAAAAGGTTGGAGTTTTTAGGATTTTGGTGTAGTGAAGGTCGTGAAGCAGCACTCGCAGCCACACAAGCTCAGATGCTGCTATCGCCATTGCAACATACTCAACCTTGGTACTGGACAAGACTGTCAACTTTTGGCGTGTGGAGCCCCAACTGATGGCTCCATGCAACAAAATGAAAATGTACCTTGAAATTGAGCAACATTGATCGACTTCTCCTACAAAGTCGATGTCGTTGAAGCCGTGGAGATGGCGCGGCATAGCTAAGGTGCGTCAATGCTCCAAGTAAAGATTAACAGTACTACGGAGGTAGCAAAAAACATCTTTGTAATCAAAAACCTGGACATTGTCAGAGGTGTGTATATTCTGTGTAAGAACACTAATTGTGAACGAGAGATCTAAGCAAGTGCACACATTGGCCCAGTTCAGCAATGCCACGACATTTGCGTAGGGGAAGACAATACTTAGTTTGGTTTTGGCAGGGGAGGTTGAACGATCGGCCGCAAAAAGGTGAGTCTCGAAGACCATTCGAGTTGACACAGGTTTGGAGGTGAGGAAGTCAAATTCACAAGCTTCTGTTGGAAATACATGGCTTGCGTGATTATGATCCAAGATTGATTAAGATCACAAGTGACTTATAAGCTAAGCAAGTGATACACTTCGCCAAAATCAGAGAGCAAGAACTGGGAGTGGAGATGACACTTGATCAAATGGAGCAAAAAGAGGGACCTTGTCGTGATGAAAGTATCGTCGACATAGAGGGTGAGAATCGCAAAGTCAGAGCTGTTTTGTATTACACAAACATTCCTATCTGCAGCAAAATTTGTGAATCCGAGGATGAGTAAAATTTGTTGATTATTTTAAATCACTCTTGGAGGGACTATTTTAACCCATAAAAGGTCTTGAGCAATTAGCACACCATGTTGGGGCGGAGAGTCACTCCCTCTGGCACTCGTATGTAAATATCTTTGATTAACACACCATTTAGAAGGCTGTCTTCACGTCCATCTTATGGACGTGAAAGTTCAGCTACGCGACAAATGCGATAATGAATTGGATTGATTGGATTCTCACCACCAAAGAGATCGTCTCATCGTAGTCCAACCTGGGGACTTGGTTGAAATCCCGGGCCATGAAACAAGCCTTGCAGCGGTTGATTGTGCATTGACTATTTAATTTTAATTTGAAAATGTACTCACAGGTTATAAGTGTTCAATATGTAAGAAGTGACAAAAAAATCTACATTCCATTTATCACGTGGGAGTTAAATTCTTTAGCTATGGCAAATGTCTAATGATTGCTTTTGGAAGAGGTCATCGCTTGTGTAGAGGACGTCAACTGCACGGAAATTGCGGCTACGAATAGAGGATTCCGTGGCCAAAAAAAACTAAATTCATAGTTTTTGGAGGGGTCTCTTTGAGGGGGTATGCCCTTGGTAGTGTGAACAGATTTGCGAACAAGTACAGGAAGGCTTCTTTGCGAGGACTTGTCGATGAGATCAGAACATGGTCAGAACTAGTGTCATAAGTATGGTGGCTAAAATGAGGCATGAGGGCCAGACCGGTGGGAGATTAGACGACACGTTGCGGAGATGTTCGAGCCAAAAACAGGTGGTGTTTGGCGGGGAAGAAATGTCTTGACTGATCATGAGCGGAATTGGAATCTACAGAGAGCAAAATATGGAAATTGCTGAACCCTATGTTAAGGCCACGTGTGATTACACCAAGACTAGAATTTGAAGTGGAAAGCATGTGGAGGGTCTGATCATCAGAAACATGTTCTAGAAATGGAGCAATAAACAAGAGTTGATCACCAAGGAAATTTGAGTACTGAAGAGTGGCGAGAGGTGAAGGAGCCGAGGAGCATAAGTGTGGAACTAGAGGCTCAGAATTTTCAGCAATGGGATTTTGGACAGGGAGTACATGAGAATGTGGATGCTGATCATAAAGCACCTACTGAAGAGCAAAAAGAATTTAAGGTAGCTCAAGTAAAGTTACATGCTTAGGTGGAGTAGCATCAAGGACATGAATGTCAAAAAACTAAAATGTCAATACACTCTTGTGCCACTCAAAAAGATTAGAAAATCACTCAAAAATGATATAATATTAATAGCAGCATCTATAAAGCTTCTAAAAAGCATCTCTAAAAAATATTATGAAATAAAATTATTTATATCTTCTTTTATTTAATCATATACATAAATAATAGAATAAATATATATGTTTGTGGCATTATGTTCTTTTTTAGAGGTGAATTTTATGAAGAGCAATCATCATATGTTGAGAAAATCTAAGATGTGAATTATAGATGCTACATATTATGATCTTTATTCTCTTCAAAGGTCATGTAACCAAACATGTTGTATCTCGCCATCTATTTGAAGGACATGTTTTTGACAATCTTCATCTTGATTATGTCATCTTGAAGGTTGTGACAATTGAAATATTTCGTTTGATAAGTCATCAAGTGCTAGATCTTGAGTTGAATTTGTTGGTTGTTGATTCTCCATTTCTTTAGCATCACAAATACAAAAAAGTTACGAACAAGAGTAGAAGGTAAAATGTTATCTTCCTTAGATCTTATTTTTTTATAGCAAAGATTTATTATTCTTCATCATAATTTTAATTGATGTCATCAATAAAAAGCTTCAACTTTCTTTAATGTATTTGTAAGATCTTTATTGGCTCCTATATGTATTCACTAATATTATATCCATACCAATGAATAAGATATTCTAAGACTTCTTCTACCTTTTATCTAAGACTTCTTTCATCTTAAAAACTTGATTATTATCCATTACTATAGGAGGGGGTGGCATTTATCTTCTTTTTAAGATATTAATTTTCTTATATGATTTAAGAAGAGACAAATAGAATACAAGATAGATCTTCATAGTCTTTGATAAATATAATCAATAAGCAGTATGATTGATTTGTGCATAAATTTAAAAAAAAAAAAAAAAAATCCAATCTTATGATAGTCCAACTTGTCACAAAGACAAGTAGTCTTAATATTGCAACAAAATAACCATATCTTCTCACCTATATTAAATTATAGTTTTTTCTCACAATAAGCATCTACATTGATCTTTTTTTGTTCTTGAGCTTCTTTTAACTATATCTTTATTATTGTAAGTAGTTTTGATAAACAATTTGTCAAATCTTTTGCTAAGAATTATCAACTTTTAAAAAATCAAAAATATCAAGTTATGGATGATAACCATAATTGACAAAGAAATTTGTTTGTTAAGAAGAAAAATATATCAAATTATTGTACGTAAACTCTGCCAATGGCAAAAGAATTGTTCAATTATGTTGATGATAATTAATTCTACACCTCGAATATTACTCTAAAACTCGATTCATTTATTTTTTTTGTCCATTAGTTTGAGGATGAAAAGCAAAAGAGAGCTTTATATTCATCTTTAAAATCTTAAAAAAAATTCTTTAAAATTTTAATATAAATTGAGTCTCTCTATTCAACATAATATCCTTGAACAATCCATAATAGCAATGAATATTATCAAAAAAAAGTTTAGTTGTTTCTTCACTTGTAATAGAATTTATACATGATATAAAATGTACCATCTTGGTAAAAAAATCTACTATCACAAATATAAAATCATACAAATCTGAGATTGGAAGATCCATGATAAAATGTATAGAAATAAAAGACTTTGATTGTTTTGAAATAAGCAATAGTTGAAGAAGTTCACAATATTGATGACAAAGAATTTTGAATCTTAAAAAATTATCACATAATTATACAAAGTCTTTAATTGCCTTCCACTAAAAATCTTTAGATATTAGCTTGAAGGTCTTATTGTATCTAAAATGTTTGGCTGTTGAAAAGTCATGGCAAGCTTGAAAAATACTTAATTATGCTTCACCTTTTGAAATATATAATCATCTCTAAAAGAAGAATAGATTATTCTTAAATTCAAACTTAAAAGTATCATGAAATTTAAAAGAATTATTCTTGATATCATAAACAAGTGGATCAAGAAACATACTTGATTAAATTTGCTTAACAAAGTTTGAATCAATAGTGTATGTTGATATTATTGCTCAGAAAAAAAAATGCTCTAGCTTCAAGAAAATCATTCTTTGTTGATCAAAAGCTGTATTTCTTTTTTTTACTATAAAATAAAAACATTTAGAAAGGACATCTGATAAACCTTGTTATTTATTGGATCTATAAGTGATCTTAAAATCAAATCTTAATAAAGACATATTCTATCAAGCTTGACAATAATTCAAAACATGTGTCAACATAAAATACTTAAGATTTTTGTCATCTATATACATAGTAACTGGATTAAAAGTGCCTTGTAAATAATGACACTATTCTTGAAATGAATCCACAATTGTAAGAAGTTCTTTTTTGTAGATCTCATAGTTAATCTTGGCTATTGAAAATTTCTTGGAATAAATAGCTATCAAATGGAGCTTATTATGTTCTCTTATTTATAATTAAACAATATCTATAATAAAGTTTGATGGACTTATTTCCATAAAGAACATCTTAAAAAAATCAATGTAATAAAAAATTGGTAT